GCCCCTACATCTGATTCTGCTACTCTCATTCATGGTGTCTCCAGATGTTTGCTTCCAACACAGTGGCTACAGCTATGGATAGCTATTTACATCTTAACTAAAATTTAGTAAAATTAGATACTCACTGTTGTAGGCAGGCAGCTGGGATAAAATGGATTAGATTTGTGAGCTGGAGGGCCACGCCTTCACCACGCCCCTGTGTGATCTCATGCCCCTACCTCACCACACCTGTACGCCCACCTGCCAATCAGGCTACATAACCACTCCCTTTGGGAAGTGGATAAAAGGCCTGGAACACGGTGGGCCCTGCCTTCTTTCCCTTGTTTTGGCCATTATTGCCCTTTGTGGCCCTTGCTGCCCGTGCCTTCTGGGCGTGTGGCCTTCGAGCCACCCGCTCCCTGTGCTCTCTGCCTTCCCTTCGCTCCTGGTGCTAAGCTGCTTGTAGCTGCCCATAACCAAACGCTTGCTGCACGTGGCTCCCTGCCTGCTTTCTGCTCGGTATGGATCTAGACTTTCCTTCTCCCTTAGATAGAGCCTCATTCTCCTATGCATTTCTCTTGCTGAATAAAATCCTGAAAATTTACCATGCTGTCTAGTTTATTTGAGCCAGTTTTCAGAATCCTCTGAATTTGTGGCAAGAGCCCACACAGCTTATTAATTTCGAAATTATTAATAAGCAGATCAACTTCACAATTCCTTGTCCTACTTGGCACATGTCAGTTCCTCAGCGGCCTCCTTGGCCCTCGGTGCCGTGAGCTAATGCACTCTAAATGGAACATGCAGGGGAGGTACCTTGTTCACTGCAACCACACTCCGTAATCCGGGTCCAATACGAGCCACCAGTTGTAGACATTCTGTCGCTCCCCCTCTTCGTGGAGGAACGACACAGGACCCTGCGCTGTTCTTTCGTCTGCTCGGCCCTCCCCGGGTTTGCTGCTGGTTCTTCCCGGGTTGGCTACTGTCCCTTCCACCTCCGTGGAAGGGCGGTTCCCCCTGGCCACATTCCCCACTTCCGCAGGGGAGTGGCGCACCGCCGGCCGGCTCTCTCGGGGGCTGCACAGGCGTTCCTTCAGATGTTCCCCTTAGATGTTCCTGGTGCATGCCGTCTCTCTCCTCCTTTATAGTCCTCCTCCGCCAATCCCAACTCGGCTGCCCACACGCCGAGTACGCTGCTCTCCAATCAGGAGCAAGTCCTACAGTTTATTGGTTGAACTGGAGGCAGCTGTGCGGAAGCTGTTTACTTCTCTCCCAGCGCCATATTGTGGGAGAGCAGATGCATAGAATAAGTCTTAATTCCAGTAACTCAGTCCAGTCCGGGCTGCTCCCCACACATTCGGATTTACAAAGTGTGAGTTTCTATGCTGACACACTGTATTTTACAAAGAAATAGTACAAGTGACCTGACATTTACCTAAAAAACTTTGGTGCATTTAAAAACACGTTTTCGTGTGTGTTTTTACAAAAGAGAAAGAACATATTTTAGTTGTGCATTCAATACATGAGGGCGGAGGGTGCATGGGGGCCAGAGGAGAAGAACCGGAAGCCACCAGATCAAAGCCTCTTCTTCATACTTCTGACTTTGCTGAGAGTGAAGCAGGAAGTTGCCCCGGGAGTCAGCAATCGACTGTAAAACCAACTCTTGCGTCCTACTTGTTGGTCTTGTGATGAAAGAAGCAAACACTTAAAAACAAAAGGCAGTAAAAAGAATCAACATTGAAGATGACACAAAATACCACAAAGCTTTAGCAGAAAAGGACTAGAAATGATTCACTGGCTGTACATGTTCCATTACAACAGAAACATATAAAACTGCGTGTTGTTCTCCATCCTATAGTTCTAATGCAGGTCTCATGAAAATATTGAGGTTGGTGTTTATGGAGTTTTAGGAGACAACTTCAAAGCAAGTGAAAGATTTTTCTGGAAGAATTAATGGATGGGCCAGTGTGCTCGAATGCATGCAAGGGTTCTGCAGGTACAAGTGAAGGAAGGCATGTCTTTCCAGGCTCCAAAACCTACACAGTTTGCCTCCTCCTCAGTCTGTGCTTAGACCAGTCACCCTGGCGTGGTACACTGGGGAGCAGACATCTGCTGCCACACTGTGCTGCACTGCACTGCCATCCACACGGAACACGCATGTGTGACTCAGGAGCATGGGGGCAGTAATGCCAGCCAGTGGTTGAGCAGGAAGGGGAGTTACGGAACTTCCAGAGTCCCATGGAAGCCCTAATGGGATGGAGGCCACGGCCACAGCCACAGCGACAGCCCAGGCTATCTCCTCCTCCTGACAACCCGCGGGCTCAGAGGCCTGTGGAGACAGCAGTTCTTCTGATATTGGCGCTCGCCAGTTCAGTCCAAAACTTTACCCTTGATACATCTCCCCAAGACCATAGAGATCTAGATCTCTCTATGTGACTCCTTTCCACCGTCACTGGGATTTCTGAAGAGGCAGGAAGGGACCCTCACCTGAAATGGCTCCTGGAGTGCTTGATTTAAGTCAAGCACTGTCAGTGTGAGTTTGTAGAGATAATGGGTGAGGAGGCACTCTTCTTCACGGGGGACTGAGAAGGGTGCATTTCAACAAGCCGATGGAACTCCGCGCTCAGTGAGCTCAGCCAAAGTGCCAGCCCCAGGAGGCAGGGAGGCGGTTTTCACTCCTGTGTCAGGACATGCGGGTTGCTAGGACCCGCCCCTCCCCCCGGCTTCTCCCCAGATGGGGCCTCCAGAGTTTCACCTGGGCACAAGCACCTCCTCTCCTCTACACAGGGGCCTCCAGATCAACCCTCTTGGGCCCTGGGGTCTCCCTTTGCACCCAGGCCTGGACAGAGTCTGCAGGTGCTCTCCAGAATGGTGTTCTGTGAGCTCTCTCCCGCATGAGGGACTCTGCCTTGGGGCTCAGAGGTGAGACTGTGCCCCAGCACCCAGCTCCCTGCCATGACCTCCACACTTAAACTGCCACACCCTTGGGCCAACCTCCGCAGCCCTGCCACTCATTCCCTCACTGGTCATCATAGAACTTTCTCCTCTAGTTCGTGGTGTTCTCCCCATTCTTAGCCTCAGACTGGATGGACTCTGAGTTTGCAGGAGGAATCTGCCCTGCGTATTGCCCCTCTGATGCCTGGAAGCATCTGCAGGAAGATCACTGCAGTGGCTGTGGGAAATGCAGGGTCTTGGGTCTCACTGCCAGGTTCAGAAGCACTGAGGTCCCAGGTAAAGCCCGTGCATCTGGGCTTTGATGGGCAGCTCCCGCGGCCGTTTTGCACACTGAAGCTAAGAGCTGTTCGGCGTGGGTGAGCTGCCCTACTGCAGTGCCTGGGATTCAGCATTATCCGGAATCAGCTCCCACCGGCAGCGCCTTTTCCTCTGCAGACTCAGCTTCACCCCTGCACTCCCCTGCTCATCACACCCTGTAGTCTGGCCTCCTCCGGCCCCAACCCCTTTGTTCCTCGTTCCGAGTCTTGTCCTCTCCTCAGTTCCTGGCCTGTTGCTTGATCCCCCAGTTAGTCTGATGATTCTCTTAGTTTATGCAGTCATTGTCATCACCATCTCCTAACCTTCTCCCCTTCTGGCTCTCGTATTGTACCAATTCAACAAAACCTTAAAATTGGCTCAGTCCTACCCTACCCACTACTTCTGCTCCCTGGTTTCTGGATTCTGTCAGAGAAAAGTCTTGCAGCATCATACACGTGCAAGGGTTCTTCAAAAAGTTTGTGGAAAATGGACTTAAAAGATGAAGTTTATTTTGGTGTAACAAAAACTTGACACCCATGCATGTGAGAAGTCTTCAAAAAGTTTATGAATGGCCAGCGCTGTGGTGCAGCGGGTTAATACCCTGGCCTGAAGTACCAGCAACTCACAGGGGCACCAGTTCTAGTCCCGGCTGCTCCTCTTCCAATCCAGTTCTTTGCTATGGCCTGGGAAAGCAGTGGAAGATGGTCCATGTCCTTGGGCCCCTGCACCCACGTGGGAGACCCGGAAGAAACTCCTGGCTCCTGGCTTCGGATCAGTGCAGCACCAGCCATTGTGGCCATCTGGGGAGTGAACCATCGGATAGAAGACTTCTCTGTCTCTCCCTCTCTTTTGTGTTTCTATTTTATTCTTATTTTTAAGATTTCCTTATTTATTTGTGTTTGAAAGGCAGAGTTACTTAAAGAGAGGGAGAGACAGAGAATCGTCCATCTGTTGGTTCACTCCCCAAATGCTGCAACAGCTGTGCTGGGCCAGGCTGAAGCCAGGAGGAAGGAGCTTCTTCTGTGTCTCCTCCCCGGATACAGGGGCTGAAGCACTTGGCCCATCCTCTGCTGCTCTCCCAGGTTCACTATTAGGGAGCAGGACTGGAAATGGAGCAGCTGGGTCTCTTCAGAGGCCAGCATCACAGGCAGCAGCTTTACCTGCTACTCCACGTCAGCCCCTCTATTTTCTTCTTCATTTTAAAAATCTTCATTAAAGAAGCCAATGTATTATCTAATTAGTAGTATTTCCCTCTAAGGACCACCGGGACTTCTTTTTCTTTCTATAATTTGTTTGCATCCCAACCAATTTCTAAGGTAATCCTTAATACATCCTTCCTTACAGTTTCAAAGGTTTCTTTTATTAATTTCTAAAATTCTTCAGTTAAATGTTTGCTCTTTCTTGCTCCGCAGACTGAGCACTCAGGAATACAGAATCTCCCGGGCGAGCGCTCCAGACTCTGCCAGTGGCGGGGCGGCCTCCCTTTCTGAGCGAGACCACACTTGGGTCAGACAGGACTGCACTACTCCAGGAGTTAGAGCTTCTGAGATCCAGACTGTGCCTTCATTGGTCCTGCACGACTGTGGGGTTCCTCCCTTACCAGTGGGCCCTAAGCCCCAGAACTGAGTCAGCATGCTGAAATTACGAGGACTGACCACGTAAGACTGGGGTTCCCCGTGTGGGAACAAAAGGTAAATCTCGTCTGCCTACCCATTTTAGGTTGTTCATCTGGAACCCCAAAAACTAAACAAAAGGCAGAATGACAAGACACATGCAAGCAGAAGTTTATTAACACGAGCATCACACACTCATGAGAGCACTCCAGGGAGAGTGACAGAGCTGGTGGTTAGAACTCTTGGCTTTTCTTGCATCTTAACAGAACAAGACGTTTCTTTCTACAGAAGCAACAAAGCTAAGGAGAAGGGCTGGTTTCCAGGTGGCAAACATAGGAAAACCAATGGTCAATAAAGGCACGTTTTAACAAAGTTGGTTACATGGATTTCTCTGGTGTTGTCTGCAGGATAGGAGGCTACAGTGTTTTCTCTTGTCCTCTGTATGTTTGTGTGTGAGGGGGTGGAGGCAGCAGGTGCTTGGGCAGTGGTCTGACTCTCCCTATGTCTTCCGTGTGGACAGAGGGGTTGGCCCACGCATGCCTGACATCCAGAACAACTCCCACTGCCTCTCCTTTAATGCAGAGACAGAGGACCTCACAAACATCAGCGAACATCAATTTTTATATCAACTCTGAATGATAACTATCTAGCAAATTTGTGACTAGTTTTGGTCATCAATAACACTGTTTACGTATTGGCTGATATTAATGAGGTCTTGTCCTTAGCCCACTGAGGTATAATAATTTAGGTGTGGTGGGCATTTACTTTTCAGAATAGAGTTGTAGACAGTCAAGGTCTCTCTACATCACATCTGAATCACAACAAAGACAGCCCACAATCACTCCAGCAACAACTATTCCCTGAGATCTAAGACATCAGAGGGCTGGCTCCAGCAGTCTGGCAAAGACCAACCTCCTGCTCTCTTCCGGTACTGAGTTTCCCACCAAAGTCCATTTTTGCTGGTAATCCGCCTTCCATCTGAAGCATATAATTTCAAGCCATTTGGAACTTGCCCCCATCACTGCCTGCCTCTTTCCCCAGGGAGACTCAGGGGGTCCGGCAGCCTGCAGGAAGGACAGCTCTGAGGATCACTGACCAGGCACACTGTGGGAGGAGCCGCTGCTATTTTGTTTTTTTTTCCTGCTCTTTTATGTGGTGGGCAGACACTCCCGGCCTCCTTTCATGCCCCTGCTCTCAGGAGTTACAATGGTGTCAACCAAGCTGGAAGACTCCCTAACTCTGGGGACACCCTGCTCAAGGACCCCGGAGCAGTCACAGCCCTGGGCTCACTGCAGAGGGACTGGCAGGGAGGACAGTGCGACCCTCACTGTTGACCTGATCTTCGTGACAGCCTGAAAGTCTCCAGAGCCGGCAGTTCAGGGCAGATGTAGCAGTGTCCACTAAAAGCCATCACAGTTCTAGGTACTGGGGGAACAGCAGGGAATAGGAGAGACCAAATTTCTGCCCTCACGGGACTTGAAGTCTCCTCTCTGTGCTGGTGAAGCCAACAAGGAGACCCTGCGCCTGTCCTACTCACCTGGGGGAGGCAGGAACAAAGGAGAACAGTGATACACCTGGAAATAGGGTCGCAGAGTATCAGAGAAGGAGGCCTTTGGGAAGGTGAAGAGGTGAGCACCTGTACTCATATTGTAAAAAGATACAACTCCGGCCTCAAAGTCCAGAAAAACTCCCACCACCAGGGGCTGCTGACTGAGATAGAGAGGAGTCTGGGGGAAGGTGAGCGCAACATAGCCTCTCTTCCTGCACAGCCTGATGGCCCAGAAGCCAGACTGCGGCTTCTGCTTTACGCCGAACCCCCTCTGCACACTTTCCACACAAACTCCCAAATCCCACCCCGTCCCTTCTCCAACATCCACTTCAAAGAAATGCTTTCCTGAATCGAAGCTCTCACAGCCCAGGACACAGGGTAAGGCACTGAATCTCCTGGGAGACGCGGCGAGATTCTCCTGGGGCCACCCCCGGGTCACCTGCCTCCGGTCTTCAGACAGGGTCAGTTCAGGATGGGCTGTAACTGGATCCAGAGTCACGTCGACTGCAGAAAGACAACCACAACAAAAGAAACCCCAAACGTCGCTTTGGGTTTCTCTGTGGCTCTTCTAACTTAAAGGGGATGCTCAGCTACTCGTTTTTTACCAGGTAACCAGCATGCAGCACCCACGTGAAGCATCGAGCACACTGACGAGGGACAGCATCACAGCTGCACCTGGCCTACGGCAGTGCGCCTGCTCGGGACAGGGGCTGAGCGCGTTTACTGTTTGGGTCCCTTCCACCCCCAGCACGTAAGGATGTTTGAGTGCACGCACCTCGATAGCTCCTTAACATCTTCTTCACATCAAAGTAAAGCTCAGAAACGTTGCACGTCGTAAGAACCTCCAAGGAGAAGACCTCTGGCGCTTCCAGCTTCACAGCCCAGCTCCTAGAGGAAGCAGGGCCAGAGATACCTGGAGGGGTGCGTTCCCTGTAGCCGCACACGTCCTCCCCGCACCCCTCCCGCAACCCTAGAGGACTTACCTGTCCAGCGTGCCCTTCACATCCTGTAAAGACACAAAAGCAAACGGTGAGTGTGTCACCATCTCCAGGTGTCAGGGTTTGGCACGCGGTGCTGTCCTCCATTCATGCTCACTCCAAAGAAGCACGGTGACCCCAGCCTTAGATGTGGACAGATGCTCCAGGGAATGGTTCCTGCCCTGGCCTCCAGGACATGCAGTGTGACAGGATGCTTATCACCCTCAGCATCTCCTGCTGTCCCGGATGAAACCCGTGGGAAGCAGCTGTGTCGACAACAGCATCAGCATGCGGGCCACCTGGGGAAAGGGCCACACGCTTTGCCCTGGCTCCCCCTGGCAAGATGTGCACCAAGGTGGCGGCTGTAGGTGTCTCGTGGTGGTGGAGCAGCCATGCTACGCTCTCAACCTTACAGTGGAACAACCATCCCGTTAGTGGGGACAGAACTAACAGCTCCAGCTGTTTACCTTAACCGGGAGGATCCTTGGAGGTGTCAGAAGGCCCCAGCACAGCTCTGGAGCAAGAGCTCCACCAGAGAGTAAGGAAAGGTTATCACTCACTGGCCCCTGGAGGAGTCTTTGGGAGAGAATCTGAGAATCAGGGTTCTGTGCACACAGGACCAGGGGCAAACGGTGGTAAAATTATCCCAAGGTCCACCTGGCCACTCCGTGCACTCAGAGGAAGGAGGCTTTTCTAATTAACTTAAAGAGGTCCTGTGAATGAATGAGTCCGTCCTGCTGAGACGGATACACACCCCCGCATTAGTGTGCCACTGCTGAGCGAAGGCAGGCACCCACGCCAGCCCCCCACCTGCACCTCCCCCAGCCTCACCTGCAGCACTTGCTGGGCCTGGCTTTGACACTTTTCCTCCAGCCCCTGGATTTGGCTCCTGAGTTCCTGGCTCTGCTTCTCCAGACTGGCCTGACCATCCTGCAGCCTCTTCAAAACCTGCTTCTCCTCTTTCTCCAGCCTCCAGAGGTAAGAATTCTCCTCTTTTTGTAGAAAGCTCTGGAGAGTCTCAAAATCACAGCGGATTTTTTGTCTCTGAGTCTCTATCTTCTCCTGGAGTTAAGAAAGTATGGTCAGGAGCCAACACTGTGTCTCAGCAGGTTAAGCCGTTGCTTGTGACACCCGCATCCCACGTATATCAAGGTGCTAGACCCAGTCCCAATGTCCTTGTGTCCAATCCAGCTGCCCATTAATGCACCCAGTAGATGATGGCCCAAGTACTTAGGCCCCTGCCACCTACGTGGGAGACCTAGATGGAGTTCCTGGCTCCTGGCATCAATCTGGCCCAGCCCCAGCTGTTGTAGGCATTTGGGAAATGAACCAGTAAGTGGATAGACTTCTCTTTCTCTCTGTCTCTCCTTCTCTATCACTCTGCCCTTCAAGGGAAGGAAGGAAGGGAGGAAAGGAAGGAGGGAGGGAGAGAGGGAGGGAGGGAAGGATGGAGGGTATAGTCAAAAGTGGAAAAGACCACATATCCAACCTTGAATGATAGGACAAACAAAATGTAGTTTATAGATACAATGGAATATTATTCAGCCTTAACGAATGAAAATGTGAAACATGATACAACATGGATGAGCCTTGAAAATATTCTTGCTATGTGAAACGAGCTAGAAAAAAAAAAAAGGGATAAATATTCTAAGATTTCATTTACAAAAGGGAACTTCAAAAAGTTCATGGAAAATAGAATTAAAAGAAAAGTTTGTTTTGTTGCAAAATATTTTTAAAATCCATGCATAGTTTTTTCTATAATTCATATTTTCCATGAACTTTTTGAAGACCACTCGGGAGGTACCTAGAATAGTTCAATTCACAGAGAGAAGATATACTTATCAAATCGTGGTTACCACATCCTGGGAGAAAGGGAGACTGGGAGTTAGTAATCACTGGATACAACGGTGCCGTCTAGAAAATGGAAAAAGTGGAAATGGATGGCGGTGGTGCTGCTTCACCACGTAAAATACTTAACACCACCTAAGTGTAACACTCAGGAATATCAAAATGGTAAGTTTTATGGTATGTTTATTTTACCACAAAAAGAAAAAGAGGGGCAGGTGTTGCGGTGCAATGGGTTAGGCTACCGCCTAAGATGCTGGCATCCCAGAGCACAGGTTCAAGTCCTTGCAGCTCCACTTCTGATCCAATCCCCTGCCAATTCACGGGGCAGGCAGTAGAAGATGGCTCAAATGCTTAGGCCTCTGCTTCTCACATGGGAGACCCAGATGGAGTTCCAAGCTCCTGGCTTTGGCCTGGCCCAGCCCTAGCCATCGCAGTCATTTGGGGAGCAAACCAGCCAATGGAAGCTCCCCCTCTCTGCCTCTATCTTTCTCTATAACTCTGCCTTTCAAATAAATAAAAACATATTTTTAAAAACCAACCAAACAAAAAAACTTAAAAACAACAAAAAAAGAAATTGAAAATGTCTGATCAGCAAATGTGGCATTATTCTCCCATGAGTCACTCATGCTGGAAGAATGCTCCCAGCTTCCTGCTGCAGAGTCATTGCTGGCAGGCAGGCACACATGTGGGAGAGGTTGTCTGCATTCTCTGTAGTTGCCTGATTAATTTCCTTCTTCAGCCAAGACACAGGAGACAGGCGGGGCTGGAGGTGCTGGATAATTTAATCATGGAACCAGGACTAAGTTCAAACATGTTATCAGTTACAAGGATAAAAACAAGGTTTCATTTGAGATAGAAGAAGGTATCTCTGGGCCTGAGGACATTTCCTGAAGCCAAAGCTTATAAGCAACTCCAGAGTTGGGATATTATTATGATTAACAGAGAAGTATTCACGTAGCAGGCCAGGGTTGTGTGTGAGACTGACAGAAACCAAATGACATATTTTACAAGACTTAGCTTTCATTTGAGGATCTATAGAATTGCAATTTCCATCAGCACTTTCTAAATCCCAGTAGTGTTTTGATGACTTGATATTGTAATAGGAGGATCTTTGATTTAGGATGAAGGGGAATTTTTATACAGGAAACAGGTACAGTGTTTATCCTTGTACCAAATGGGGTTTCCATATATGTTAGTTATCATTGTGGTCTTCACCACTGCCCAAGATCCCAGAAATAAAGGAAATAAAGGGTAAATAAGGAAGAAAGGGTGTCCTCTGGGGGCTCAGGTTCCACAACCACTCACAGATCACCGTAGAGGCTGGGTAGGACCTTGAAAGCGGCCAAATGGCTCACTGGCCTGTGAGATTTGACTGCAAACTGGTAGCTTCCATAAATTTATATAAAGGAATGTGTGTTCAAAAATGTAGGGGCTGGTCAGCCCTGGAAATAACCTGAGAGACCCCATAGTTTGCAGTTGCAAATGCGTAAGTTCTGGAAGCATTATTATGCTCCTTGTAAGTCCAATAGGCCTCCTTTCGCAGCTTCATGAGCTTGACTGATAGGAACCTCAACCTGGAGTGAGCCTGTTTGCTGAGTGCTTCTGCACCCCTAAGGCTGGCAGCCAGACCCTGAACGAGGGGAAACATGCCCCAGCAGTGGGGTTGGGGACTGCAGAGCAGGAAGGTCATTTGAAGTATTTAAAATCGGAAACCCAGGTAAGGCCGGCAGCGGGGAGCTGCTTCGCTGACTGAGCATCAGGAATCCCCTCAACCACTGTGGATGCCTGAAAGGACTGTTGGTAAAGCTCAGGGATGTGGACAGTGGGGTATACACAGAATGGGTTCTTTGGGTTTCATCTATCTCGTCTGGTTTAATGAGAATGGACCAGCATTACCCTTTGCCCCAATCTTCTCTTCTGCCTAAACTTCAGAATAGAAAACAGCGTAATATCAAAGACCTCAGATTTGTACCTTCCATTCAGTTATTTGCATTGTTATGACCTTCTTCTGATCCATGCACTCCTCTTCGAGTTGCCTCAGTTGCGTCACAGCTTTCTGGAGCTTTTCCTGAAGGGAACACCGAGTGAGTCAAATCTGTTCAGCTCAGCTCTGTCTGAGGCACTAATGGGAACCCCTGCCTCCAAGATGTGTTAGAGTACAGTATGTATGTATCAAGCTCTTATGCTTGGCCAGGGCATGTGTTGATGCATAGCAGTAACATACTGATCTCCTTAGCAACCTGAACAGTTGGTAAGATTTTACCATCATTTCTATGCTGCAAAAATGCGGCTCAGGAAAGGGTTAGGAGACTTGCCCAAGGGGCTATCACTGGCTGCCTTGAGAACTGTGATTTCACCCTCATCTCTTGACCCAGAGCCTGAGCTATAATCCACCACTCATCTTGTCAGGAAAAAGCTGCAAACAGAACAAGACAGCAATCACCTAAAATATTTTATAAAATAACATGCTAAGCCGCAGATTAACAATACGAGTACGTGGCGTACACGAACTTTGTAGGGAAGAGTGGAACAAGTAAGATCCCAGATGAAGTTCTCAGAGACAGTTCATGAGGAGGGCAGCTCAGGCATCTTCTGAAAAAATGGTATCATGAAGCCAGTTTTTAAAAACTCAGCAATCATGGGGCCAGTGCTGTGGCATGGTGGGTAAAGCCGCCAGCTGCGGTGCTGGGCATGCCATGTGGGTCCCGCTGCTCCACTTCCTACCTGGCTCTCTGCTATGGCCTAGGAAAGCAGTGGAAGATGGCTCCCTGCACCCGTGTGGGTGACTGGGAAGAAGCTCCTGGCTTCTGGCTTCCGATCGGTCCAGTTCCGAAGATTGCAGCCATCTGGGTAGTGAACCAGAAGATGGGAGACCTCGCTCTCTCCCTCTCCCTCTGCCTCTGCCTCTCTGTAACTCTTTCAAATAAATAAATAAATATTTTTTTTAAAAAAACCTCAGCATTCATGTCAAGCTTTGAGGTTATTTTTCAAAATATCTTCTTATAGTTTCACTAAAAGTAATTTGAAGCTGACCTAAATTGCTAAGTGTGGTCAATTAAAAAAAAAAAAAAAAAACTCTGTCTTGAGTAAACTCAGTAAGTATAGCCCTTAATTCTTGACTGTATACAAAGTGCTCCATGTAATTATTTCAGCAAAAGACATGTATTGCCTTTACTATATATATTATATTTATTATATATTTGTTATTTATTATATTTATATAATTTATTACTTATATAGTTATTATATATTATTTATATATATGTATATGTTATATATATGCCAAGAGTTGTTCTAAGCTTCACATAATTTAATGTCTTTAAAGCTTATAACAAGTCCCTAGCTATGTGCGTTAGGGACACAGGAACTGCTATTATTCCCATTTACAGATGAGGAAAAACAAGGCATAAAGATAGTAAATAACTTGTCCAAATTTGGCCATCTAGTGAACCAGAGATCTAAGATTTTAACTTAAACCCTGTGGTTTCCAAGCCCGTTAACATGTACCTTGTACAGCTCCCTTCTTACTACAGGCTGGTTAACCCTAATGCAAAATACTTGGGGCCAGAGTGTTTCGAATTACAGAATTTTTCAGATTTTGGAATATTAGCATATACATAATGAGAAGTCTTGGTGAGGGGACTCATGTCTAAACATTAAATTCATTCATTTTTTTTTTCTTTAAATGAAAGAATTGTAGTTTCTCAGAGGAAGACATGTTATGGTATTGTTTTTTTTAAAAGTTCTATTTATTTTATTTGAAAGGCAGAGTTACAGAGAGGCAGAGGCAGAGAGAGAGAGAGGTCGTCCATCCACTGGTTCACTCCCCAAATGGCTGCAACGGCCAGAGAGCTGATCGGAAATGAAACAGCAGGGACTCGAACCAGTGCCCATATGGGATGCCCGCACTGCGGGCATCGACTTATCCACTACTCCACTTCCAATCCAGCTCTCTGCTATGGCCTGGGAAAGCAATAGAAGATGGCCCAAGTCCTCGGACCCCTGCACCCACGTGGGAGACCTGGCAGAAGTTCCTGGCTTCAGATCAGCACAGCTCCGGCCATTACAACCATTTGGGGAATGAATCAACGGATGCAAAACTCTCCTCTACCTCTCCCTCTCTCTCTCTCTGCCTCTGCTTCTCTGGGATTCTGCCTTTCAAATAAATAAATAAATCTTTAAAAAAACTGGGCTAGAACCTGGGCAGTCACACAGACACTTCTGCTGGTTTCTTCACTAACTGACAGCAAGAGGTGGTGGGCTCTTGTATTTTCAGGCCCTACCAAGAAAATTTTGCACACTGTGGCTTCTCAAATTATGTACACAATGTGAGGCAAGAAATTATGCAGAGGTTTAGCCTGAGGACACACGTTCTAGAGCAAGGGGGAGTCCCTGTAACACGTGTCCGGGGGCACAGGGGTCTGAACATACTGAAAGGCAGAATGGGGGGTCTGCACTCAACTCGGCAAATGCCCACTATAAACTAATTTTCACAAGAATGGCATGATGGAAGCTGGATTTGAGGGTCCTCATCCTAGACGCAGGCTGAACAGTCTCGCGGGGTTGAGGAACAACAGCTTGAGAGCCCGGCCCACTGACTCACCCTGTACTTCGGGCACACATCTTCCACCAAAGCTGTGGTGTGCCCCTGGTGCTGGGATGTCCGCTCACAGCGCCAGCAGATGAGCTGGCCCTCGTCTTCACAGAAGAGCTGCAGCTGCTCCCCGTGTTCTTTGCATGACATCCCCTGCTCCATCTCCTTGATGGCTTCAATGAGGTTTCCCAGCTGCTTGTTGGGCCGGAGGCTCTCCTGGGAACACGGGGCCCGACACTGGGGGCAGGGGAACGTGTTCTGCAACACCTGTGACTGCCTTAGGTTGTTCAGGAAATCCACAATGCACTGGCCGCAGTAGCTGTGTCCACAGGCGACACTCGTCGGGTCGCTCATCAAGTTCAGGCAGATAGAGCAGGTGGCTTCCTCCCTCATCCTCTTGGTGCTGGGTGCCGAGGTCATGGCTTTTCACTTGAGAAGATTCAATATTAGATCTAGAGGTGGAGAAAACACAGCTTGAGTTCTCCCCAGTAATGAAAATCCACCCCAGTGGAGCATCTGCGTAAGGAGCTAGCTTGCTCAGTCTCCCCGGATCTTAAGTCTTCTCTATAGAAAGAGGAAATGTTGTGGAACACAATTAGGCTGGGCCTGTTGGATACACCAGAGGTGAGAACCAACGCATGAAGCCAGTACAGCTTATTATTAGAGTGGCCAGCTGGATCAGTGGTCCCAAATATATTCCTCCTCTCTCCCCTCTTCCAAGTTAACTGCAGGGCCTATTAAAGGAAAATAAAAGAGGAGCTAAGGAAGATGGTTAAGCAGGTTTCTGGGGGGTTGACTGGAGACTGCTTTGCCATGAAATCAGGCAGAAACAAATTTCTCTCTTTTCTGGGATCTCTAGTTTCGTATCTTCTTGTAGCTTGGCTTTTGTTGATGAAAAGCTAAAGAGGAGGGAAATGACTTCTTTTTTTTTTTTTTTTTTTTTTTTTTAAATTGCAAACATACAGTTGGCCTTAAGGTTAGAAAGAGAAACAGGAAGTATAATGTCACAGAAAAGGGCTGGAATTTAAAAGTTGCTTAATAGCCACATTTAATACGGCAGCCACTGTCATGTGGTCACTGAAACTTAACTGAATGAAAATCAAACAAATTTTAAAGTTCAGCTTCTCAGCTGCCAACAAGAAGCCCTACATAGAACAGCACTGAGAAACTTCACTCGGGCCAAGTGCTGAGAGACAGAAGCAAGGCAGGAAACAAACTGCAGCAAGAGAGCTCAGAGGGCCAGTGAGACGGTGGCCAGTGAGACCCTGTCCAAACTAATGAGCACCAAGAATAATCAGAACCCGAATTATCTCCGCCTACCAGGTAGCAACACTCAGGTAACCCGGACCGTCCATAAAGGACTCCATCGGAACAGCCCAACTTGACCGCCCCTCAGCCCAGGCCCCAGGAAAGCTCGAGAGGCCAGGCTAAGGAGGTGGCATCCAGAAGAGGAACGTAACCAGGGCAACACCAGGAACCCGAAGAACTGGTTTCCTTTTGCCATAACCCCTCTCTGCGCACTTCTGAAGCCAGTAAGGCAAGAGGGCAGCAGAGGGTTTGGCCCAGTAGCTGCCCGGACCGCAGCACCCCGGAGGGTCTCTCCTGCATGCTGGGACCTGACTCTGACTCCCAGAACCTCAGGGGGCCGGAGCAGGAGAGTCTGAGGACCCCCAGGGTGCAGGGAGGCCTCTGTGGGACCCTGGGGTCCACCAAGCGAGGCCCTGGCCCCAGAAGCAGCGGTGGCAGGGTGACAGTCGCCAATGACGCGCCAGTCCCCTGGCCTCGGAGCCCCGAGGCTCCCCGCCCCCACCCTGGGAGCCTGTCTGGGACGGAGGTTAAGGGGACCACCCTCGGGAGGGGGTATGGGCATGGACCTTGCCTTGCAGACAGAGGGCAGTGCCTGGAACTGAAGCCAAGAATTCGGCTGCAGCCGCGGGGCGACGCCGGTCTCCTTTAAGCCAGGCCCGCGGGCACCCCGACTTCCTTCGGAGGCCTCAGGTTCCTTCCTCGCATGCTTTAGCCGCCAGGGCCCTCTCGGCGGGGCGCCCCGGGCTCCCTGGAGGACGCCCCCTCTTTCTAACGCTCCCGGGGAGGAGAGGAGAGGGGAGGGGCCCCCCCGCGCCTCACGCACCTGAAACCCTGGCGCCCTCGGAAGGCTGCTGTGCGGTCGGACGACGCCGAAAGCCGACGAGGGCCGAGCGCGGGAAGGGCGCGGCCGCAGCGCCGCCCCCGCCCCCGCCGCCCGTCCCTGCCCTCCGCGGCCTTGCCCCGCGCCGGAGGCCGCACCCGCACGTGCCCCGCCAGCGCGGGACGGAGCCCGGAGCCCGGAGCAGAAGCCGACGCCCCGACGGCGGGGGAGGCGCGCGCGCTGAGGGGAACCCCGCGTGGGGCGGGGCGGGGCCTGTGAGAGCGCGGGCGGGGACGGCGGGGCGCGGGCCCGGGCCTCAGGGAGGGGACACCGAGGGACAAAGTGCCATCCTTTACAGCAGCGACAGGAAGGGACAAATCAGTGAGCCCGGAGCTGCCCTGTGAGCCCCGCGCGGCGTGCTGTGAGCAGGAAGCTGAGCCAAGGGTGGAGACCCTTCCGCCCTGGGCACCCTCCTCCTCTTGGCATCCCTGAGCCCTTCCTGGCCGGTGTTATTATTTTTGCTATTTGTAGGTCAAGTATTGTTTTAGAACTCCTCCGGTATGTGGAAGGGGAGGTGGGAACGCAGCAGGGCACCTCTGTCCTGTCTGAGCCACATAGTCCTGGTCACTAGTCACTGTCCCTGTGCCCCTGCAGGCCTCAGATTTGTGTGTGTGTGTGTGATAGAGACAGAGACAGGCACGTAGAAAGAAGTCTTCCATCCGCTGGTTCACTCCCCAAACGCCTACAACAGTCAGGGCTGTGTTAGGCCAAAGCCAGGCACCTGGAATGCCATTCAGATCTCCCATGGGGATGGCAGGGACCCAAGTACTTGAGCCCTGGCTGCTGCCTTTAGGGTACGCATCAGCAAGAAGCTGGACTCCACAGCAGAAACTGAGACTCTGCCCCAGGCACTCTGAAATGGGAAGTGGCCTGGCTGCTTGCCAGGCATCGGCACTGAGATGCGGCCTCTCCTAGCTTCCAACAGGAGGGGCATTCTGTGGCACGCCTCCTGCCTGGTGCTGTTACGGAAAGCTCGCTCCCTGTCCCTGGTGCCAATCAAAACAATGAGGACAAAGCTTTGGGGTGAAGGTAAGAGAACGCTTCAATCTGTGGACAGATGAACAGCGTAGCAGACCTCCAAGGCTTATAGAGGGGGTGCCGGGAAGGGGTGCCGGTATGGTGCAATACCAAAGAGCTGCAGGCCTCCCTCTGGTGTCCATTCCAGTACCACTGGCACTAGAGCATGACAGTGCACGCGGTGGACCTTGGAGTCCACAGGTGATGAGATTAGATCTAGCTTGACCAGGGTGCCCTGCTCTGCAAAAGAAGTTGAGATAAGGAACAAAGCAATGTGTGCCTTAGGGCACGGGTAAGCAGGAAGCCAGCACTGTAGCCCTGAAACACCAGCTTCCTGGCTTTATATTCAAGTAGTAAAAATTGGCTGCAGCCCTGGCCTTTGTGGCCATCTGCTGGAATGTACCAGCAGATGGAAGATATCTCTCTCTCTGCCCACCCCCAACTCTGACTTTCAAATAGAGCCTCAAAGACATGGGCTATCATCAAGCATATATGCCTGAAAATATCCCAAATTTGATAAACTATTAATTTATATATCCAAGGAACTCAGTGAATTCTAGGCGCATAAACTCAGAGGCCCACTGCCAGACATAGCATAATCAACTTACCAAAAGATAGACAGAATCTTGAAAGCAGAAAGAGAGTACAAAAGATCAATAGGATTGACAGATGATTCTTATCAGAAACTTCAAAGGCCTGGGGGCAGTGGATGACACATTCAAATTGCAGGAAGAAAATGACTGTCACTCAAGAATTCTATAGGGAAAAAAATGATCTTTCGAAAATGTAGGAAAAATTCAGACATCCTTAAATAAAAACGAGTCCATCACTAGCATATCTGACATACTAAAGGGAATTCCTTAGGATGAAATGAAAGTGATGTCGGCAGGCAGATAGGATAAAATGGATTAGATTTGTCAGATGGAAGACCACACCTTCACCACGCCCCCTGTATGGTCTCATGCCCCTGCCTGACCCCACCTGTATGCCCACCTGTCCATCATGCTACATAACCACTCTGCTTTGGAAGTGGATAACAGCCTGGAACACGGTGGCTGTGGCCCAGCCCCTTTTCCCTTCTTCACCCTTATTCCCTTTGGTGCCTTGCTGCCCGTGACTTCAGTGCGCGCGGTCTTCGGTGTGCCCAATCTCTGCTTTCCTGCCTACATGCTTACTGCACGTGGCTGGCTCCTGGCCTGCTCTCTGCCTTCGCTTCGCTCCCCGTGCTAAGCTGCTTGTAGCTGCCCATAACCAAACACTCGCTGCACGTGGCCTGCTCTCTGCTTGGTTCAGCCCCAACTTAATTTCTGGACTTCCCTTTCTCCCTTAGATAGAGTCCTCACGCTCCTAGGCATTTCCTTCACTAAATAAAAAGCTTAAAAAAAACTTACTATGCTGCCTGGTCCATTTGAGCCACTATTCAAAAGTCTTCTCTGAATTCATGGCAAGAGCCCACACCATTATTGATATGGGAAATATTGATAAGCAGATCGGTTTTAAAAGGACACAAGACAGGGGACAGCACTGTGGCACAGCAGGTAAAGCCACCGCCTGCAGTACCAGCATCCCATATGGGCGCTGGTTCTAGTCCCAGCTGCTCCACTTACGATCCAGCTCTCTGCTATGGCCTGGGAAAGCAGTGGAAGATGGCCCAAGTCCTTGGGACCCTGCACCCACATGGGAGACCCAAAAGAAGGCCCTGGCTCCTGGCTTCGGATCGGCACAGCTCCAGCCGTTGAGGTTATCTGGGGAGTGAACCAGCGGATGGAAGACCTCTCTCTCTCTCTCTCTGCCTCTCCTTCTCTCTGTGTAACTCTGATTTTCAAATAAATAAATAAATATTAAAAAAAAAAGGACATAAGACAGTAACTTGAATCCACATAAAAAATGAAGGGTACCAGTGAAGGGTATTGCATACCCATGAGTAAATATACGAGATGGTGTACATCTATTTTTGTTTATAATTCTTTTTGTCTGCTTTGTCTGATTTGAAAGGCAACTAAATAAAACAATTATAAGTTTGTTTTGAGGGCACTTATATAAAGATGTAATGTGTATTACAATAATAACAGCAAGGAGAAGAGAGGGAATGGAATTACACGGCAGAAAAAAATTTTATGTACTCTTGAATTTTTTTAATATTTATTTTATTTATTTATAAGTCAGAATTTGGGGGCAGCGCTGTGGCATAGCAGGTAAAGCCGCTTCTGTAGTGCCAGCATCTCATATGGGCGCCAGTTCGAGACCCAGCTGCTCCACTTCCAATCCAGCCCTCTCTCCTTGGGCCCCTGCACCCACGTGGGAGACCCGGAAGTAGCTCCTGGCTCCTGGCTTCAGATCCGCGCAGCTCTGGCCATTGCGGCCAGTCTTCCAGTGTATGGAAGACCTCTCTCTCTCTCTACCTCTCCTTCTCTCTCTGTGTAACTCTGACTTTCAAACACATAAATAAATCTTAAAAAGAAAAAGTCAGAATTACAGAGAAACACACACACACACCCAGTGAAAGAGGTATCTTCCATCTGCTCCCCAAATGGCGACAATAGTTGTAGCTGGGCCAGTCTGAAGCCAGGAGCCAGGAGCTTATTCCAGGTCTTGCACATGGGCACAGGTACCCAAGCACTTGGGCCATCTCCCACTGCTTTCCCAGGCATGTCAGCAGGGAGCTGTATCAGAAGTGGAGCAGCCAGGACTCAAACCGGCACCCATATGATATGTCAGCATCACAACACCGGCTCCAGCACTTTTGCATTTGTTTGTATCAACCCAAAACAGACTAGTTAAGATGTCAGTTATAATTCTCAAAGCAATCACTAAGAAAATAACTAAAAAATATAGTAAAAACATGAGAAAAGAACTAAAAGGACACACAAGAAAATACATATTATTTCAAATGTTGGCGCTTCAAGTCCCCAAGATCAGCCAGCTCCCCTAGTTCAGACTATTGTGAGGGCAGTGGATGACAGCGCATCATCGGGGGAGCACACATAGGAACAAAGGGTCACATCTAGATACAGGAGCGGGAAGAGTGGGCGGGCTTCAACTTAGGCTTTTAAAACAACCCTCCTGTGAGAACTACTAAGGAGTTGGCATGAGAACTCCCTTCCAAGAGCACAGCCCCAAGACTTGTTCCTAGGGCTATCTCCCAAAGATTCCAGCACCTCCCAGAAGCACCAACCTGGGGATCAAGCTTTTAATGACAGTAGACCTTTGGGAAACACCAAAACCAACACCCAAACCATAGCAGAATTAGAAAGGTATGTCATAGAAATAATACACAAAAGAGAGCTGGAGTAGCTACACTAATATCAGACACAATAAACTTAAAGATAATCATTGTTCCGAAGACAAAAAAGGGGGACATTTCATAATTATTAAAGTGTCAATTTATCCAGAAAAAATAACATAAACATACATGCACCTAACAGTGGAACCCTAAAATTAACCACACAAAACGAACATACTCCCAAATAATCAATTGATCCAAAAAAATCACAAGAGAAAAACAGAAAATACTTCGAGATGAATGAAAATGTAAGCACCATATGCAAAAACTTTATGGGTACAATGAAAGCAATACTGAGAAATAAGGAACAAACAGAAAAGTCAACCATAATGGTTGGAGACTTCCATGTCCCACTTTCAACAGTGGATAGAACAGGTAGAGAAGAGGTGAACAATGAAATACAAGACTGAACACTCTAAGACAACTAAACAGTAGCGGTCTTTATAGAACACTCTACCCAGCAAGAGCAGAACACACATTCTTTTCAAGCATGTCTGAAACATTCCCCAGAATAGGTCATGTAAGAGTGTTAGTGCATGAAAAGAATTTCAAAAATGTAAAAGCATTAAAATAATGCAATACATGTTCTCTGACTGCACTGGACTGAAGATAGAAATCAGTAACAGAAGGAAAACTGGATCATTCACAAGTGTGTTCAAATTAAACAACATATTCCTATATTATCAATGGGTCAAACAAAAAATCACAAAAGAAAAGTGGAAAATACTTTGAATGGCCGGCTCTGTGGCCTAGTGGGTTAAGCCACTCCTGCAATACCCGCATCCCATATGGGCGCCCATTCGTACCTTGGCTGCTCCACTTTCGATCCAGCTCCCCACAAAAGGCCTGGGAAAGTAGTAGACAATGGCCTAAGTGCTCACCCAAGTGTGAGGCCCGCAAGAAGCTCCTGGTACCCGGCTTCTGCCTGGCTCAGCACTGGCCATTACCAAAATTTGGGGAGTG